AACAATTCTATCAGTTATTGTTAGCGTTTGACAGGGAAATTATCTAACGTTCAATTTACATTTAAGAATAAACTGATCAATGAGAAAATTTTTTTGAAAATTTCAAAAAAATGTCTATTCAAACTCGTTAAACACATTCACATAACTCAACTTCTTTATGTACTTGTAGACAAATTTAGCGTAATACTAAAAATGAAAAGTAGTTTAAATAATTCGAAGAAATGTGCAGGTGTCAAAAAAAAAAAATTGCAAAAAATCACTAGAAATACAATTCATCAATTTGTGTATCATTTTCACTAAATTCATTATTGAGCAAGGCAGAGGCCAGACTTGTACAGACCCAGTATCTTTTACTTGAAATTTTCATCTAATCACTATCATATGAATTAATTAATACGATAGTGATTTTAAATTGTTGATAAACCGAGGCTCAAGCTGCTGATAAAACCATTTTTTTTTTGATTCAATGATATAGGGCTGTTCATTGGTTTTATTATTGTCTAAGCGGTAAGTCAAAATACATTTTCAGTAGTAATATACGTTTTAATTCAACAGTTTCTGGTAAAGGTGGTGAAGCTTAAATAGTCGATATTGGATAGGGTTAACCTAAGTGTCCTTGAAATTCTTTCTTTAGATACAGTGATCTGGCTATGATAAAATATTGAATATGATTATACTCTTTTTTATATATACAACGTGTATGTAGTTTATTAGCTTAAGTTGATACCTTTTTGAATTAAATACTATTCAAGCATGCTTGATATAAGCTAACTAACTTCTCTTTTGTTTTATCATTTTTCTTCACACAACTATTAACCCAAAGTACTTTATAAGATGAGTTGTGCAAAACAGATACCTCTCCTTCAAGAATGTGCACGACAATTTCAGTACGTGAATTTATTTGTTGAGGGAAGAATAAACAGTGAAACAGAGCCTTCTATAATATGTATCCAGAACGTTCAGATTTATGTATATCGTTAACGATCTTACACTAAAAAGGATTTTTTATCATACGCATTACTTGAGTAGACAGCAATTCATTCAGGTCTTATTTTTTTTCTTCCCAATGTTGAAAATGATAAGTAGAAAAACAACTAAGTACCATTATTCAAAGTCAAAGTTCAGCTTAATGTAAAATTATAAGCTGAATCCTTTAGTGTATCTCATATTTATGCAAGATACTAAAAAATACACTTTTCCTTCCATTTTTGCTTACCCAATAATTTTCTATTTTCTCTCTAGACAACGTGAAGACTCATATTTGCAATACAAATCAATAAAACTAATTTCATTCTTAATTAGGAGTAATTAAAGGTTATTTAAATTCATCAAACCTAAAACATATACAAATAACAATGCTTTAAAAAAGATAAAATAGTAATTTAATGATTGATACGTAAACAGCAATAGCAATACTGAAGTGATTCATTGTGTAAACATAATACTGCAACGTAGTAGTGCAGATTATGATTCTATTCTCGCTTTACTTTTTCAAAAATGATAGGCTTCCTGAAGTCAATGGTAGATAATTTTTTAATAGAAAGTGATAGAACTGAACTGAGAACATGAATATAAATATTTCTTTCAAGCCGCAGTCTTTTGTTGTCGTGCTGGAGGGCAATGCTGATGTCTGGAAACACTGGCTTCGGCTTTGATCCATATACCGAATGCCATTTAGCGACGTCCGACAGAAATGCAATAAATGTTGCTATAGCAATGACCGATAGAAAAGTAAGCTTTGAAAAGCTTGGCTTTTCAATTATCTGTAGCAATTGTGAAACAGTTTTTGAAACGAACGCAACGGGTAAAAAGAAGAGCAAAAATATGATACATCCTGGAATAATGATCAGATTCACTTCAAGGGCAACTAGAGACATTTGAGTTCTTGGTAAAAATAAAGCTTGAAGAGAAAAAAAAATTAATAAGACACTACACTCCTGTATTAATCGTTAAGACCTTTAATGCCCAATAATTCTGTACGAAAACAAAAGGCCCCCCCTCCCCCCCCTTAAACCGGAAAAAGTCGTCACCAGCAGGATTCGAACCTGCGCGCGAGATCACAACTGATTTCTAGTCAGTCCCCGTAACCACTTGGGTATGGTGACCCGTAACAGATCAAAGAATTTTTCCAAATACTGTTTTAGGTCACTTCTCCGAAAACTCTGGCTTTAGAGCCGTGATAGCTCAGTTGGGAGAG